TTTGACAGGAGTTTTACTTTTAAACTGTGAGTGTATTTTATTTAGTTATGTTAGTTATGATAGTTTAGTTATGATGTAAATACAATAAAAATTAAACCAAGATTTAGAATAATTATCATTTTGATCCATACATCTGACAGGGCCTCGTGCCACTTTATGTTCAACAAATTGGGCCCCGAGGTCAAAAAGGTTAAGAACCCCTGCCTTATAGCATCTGTGAACTGATTACAGACTCTCTCTCCAACACAACAAGTGAGGTGTGGTACTCACCTGTCTACCCTTATCTCCACCAACATAGGAGAACCACAGGGATGTGTACTCTCTGTGTATTTTTTCATTCTGTGTACCCGTAATCTTTGATCTTTGAATCCACCTCCACTTCCTTCTCTCATCATTAATGACTCTGCTGTAAAGGAGGTAGACTGCTGTGTTGCTGGACATTTTCATCACCAAGGGCCTGATATGAGCAGAACACTCAAACCAGTTGTGGAGAAGGCACACACGAGGGCTTGTGCACTTAGTGTGCTTCAAAAGCTAAAAATCTACAGTGCAGTGTATGCTCAGTTCAACAGAACCACCACCCAGAGAAGTCTGACAGGGTAAAACTCTGAAATGGAGGAGGTCAGACTTAAGAGGAACTTTCATGCATCTGTCTCTGGATTGATTGTGCTATATGTTTTAGTAAATACCAGAAGCAATTTAAAACATTTCACTACTGCCAGCAGACAGCAGTTTATTGTATTTCCTTTTTGACAAGAGTACCTTACTGACACAAACAAAGCTTGCAACATTCACCTTATTTCAGTCTCAATGTCTCCACTCAGGTATTTGGCCACGTTAAATTCAGAGGTGTAATAACGGTTTGGAAACACCTGATCTCCCTCTGATGTGAAAGCTTCACGACAGTTTTTAGGTGGCCGGCCTTTCTGCATGACTTCCCTTGCTTTGTTCTTTTCCTGAAATCAAACATTAAAACCATGTGGTGATGAAGCAGAAACTGACAGATGGATCAGCCTCAAACCAAAACACATCTTAAACACCAACTTTGATTATGAGAATAGTTTCTATCCCCCTCATATCAATCAGACAGTTGATGATGATCGGGTTAGCTGCTGTGATTGTGTCCAACACAGTTGGGTAATCTGGATAACGCACCTTTCTATAAAACAGACAAGAAAAAAAAACATTTAAAAGCTTAACATTTATTGAAGGGTTTCATACTATCTTCGTCCTTTCAGGCCAGAGTATTAAACTAAAGCCATCTTATGATAGGTTATGTTGAAGGTAGGGGTGCAACAATACATGTACCCATATCAAACAGTGCTTTAGGTTCAACACACACTTGTATTGAACAATACAGTTTAAACTTAATTTTATCATCTTGTCTTCTGAAGATGCTCTGTGTTGAAGGATCAGTGGATCTGTGTTCGACTACTTCACCTAGGCTGCATTTTTGAGCGCAGATCCACTGAGAAACTTGCTGTTTCAGCAACATTTAATTTAAAAACTGGACTTTTTGAGGTTAAACAAATGTTCATAATTAATTTAAATAAATTACAAGTTAAAAGGGGCATGGAAATTTCTCTTTTTGTATCCAAAAAATATCGAACCGTGAGACTAAAGTATCGAACCGAACCGAACCGTGAATTTCCTGTATCGTTGCACCCCTAGTGGAAGGTTAGGCCATTTTGGTTAAATCTCAAAAATGCTATGGGCAATATTATGAGATCAGGTAAAACTCAACTACTACTACATCAAATTTTAGCCCAGTATTTGTAAAACAAACAGAGTTAGAGACATTTCTATGTTGACCAATGTTGACTCAATATGGAAGCCATCTGAAATAAGGTTGACTCAATAAGCTGCAGAGGTACATACAGTGGTTCCTTTTTGATTTTGTCATTAAAATCAGTAAAGGGTGATACAATGCACATGTAGCAATCTGTTGAATTTTACAAACTGGTACTGACCGTTGATGAACATTGTAAAGTTTGTTAGAGAATGCGCTGACAACGATCTGTGGTCTGTTGCCCTTGGGATAAAAACGGGTCATGAGCCTCTGCAGGACAGACTCATCTTTGTAGTTGTCACAGCAGAAAGCCTTCATAAAGCTTCTCAGACAGCACTCCACAGCCACAGCCAGAGAGGGATCCTTTAAACTGATGCATGCCCCTGGGACAAAACACACACAAAGTCAAATTAATAAATTACTACACATGTACAGTGTTAATGACAAACACTGTCATCTATGTGTAACTCGTGCAGATGTTCAAAATGATGCCTTTAGTAATTTTATGGAGTCAATTTGTTTAAGCCAAAATGCCCAAAGTTTACATTAGCTGACTATACAGCCACTGAGATTAAGTTTAATTACAGTAGATGTTTATCAGAGAACGCTGTAGCTAAATTGAAAGAATCTCTTACATTTTAATTTAACTCAGAAGATCTTGTTGAAAAAAAAAACTTTAATGCAAACATCTCTTGATGAAATTGCTCCTCTGAAAAAGAAAGTAATAGATCAGAGGAAGCTGACTTTTATTTTCAGAATTACGTACTGTATACACATCTAGAAAACTGGAAAGAAAATGGCGTTCCACTAACATGAAAGAAATTTATTTAACTTGGAGAGACAGCCTGCTAATATAAAAGAAAGCTCTCCATAAAACTAGAACTGTATATTATTCATGTTTAACCCCTTAACTGTCTTTGTTCCACCGGTGGACAAAAACAGTGCAGTTTCTGCCTTTACAGATTTCCAGACGGTACCGGGGGCTTTTTTTTTTTAAACCATGGTGTCAAACAAAGAGAATAAAAACAATCCCCAGTTTCTGGTCAGTATCTCTGTAGAGCCATGTCTGAAAGTAGTGATGACTTCATGAGATTCTTTATAGATAAAATTATTTCAGAGTATTACAGTATGTCACTAGAACCTGATTTATGTTTGGACTGTTTTTGTCCCATTGAGCTCTCTGAACTATCTAAAATAGATACACGGGGGCACCACAGGGCACGGTCCTCTCACTCTTTCTGTTCAGTTTGTACTTGTCAGACTTCAGGTACAACTCGGACCATTGCCACCTTCAGAAGTTCTCGGATGATACGGCCATCATTGGATGCATATCAGACGGGAATGATGAGGAATACATGGGGTTCATCAGTGACTTGTTGGCTGGTGTGAGACCAACGGTCTCCAAATCAATGCCAGCAAGACGAAGGAGATGGTCATAGACCTCAGGAGGAAGTC